TAAAAAAAGTAAGATGCTATTTCCATTTTAATGTTAAATAATTTGAATAACTGTCACATTATAGATATTATATGAAATTAATATGCAAATTAACTAAGGTTAATTTTGAACAAAACAAGACAAACATTCTGTAACAATATGTTGTTATATTTCAACTTTCTTTGAGATAAAAAAGCTGATACTTCTATAAAATTTGAATTCTTAGTTTTAATTCCTACTTTTTTGTGAAGATTCCTTCTTTTTGTATTGAAAATCTCTATATAGCTTATTATAAGAATGAAATATATTTTTGTCTAGTTTAAAAGGAATAAAAAATTTCAACTTATCTTATCTTATGATAAATAGAATAGATGTTATAAATAATTCAATACTAGTAATTAAAATATATAAATTAAACTCATACTTATTTGATTAATTATTTTAGTAGTTTCTCAAAGATTTGATATTGGAAGTCCTAATTGCAATAAATACATAAAAATTTGGTACAGGTAAATAACTATGATGAGTATAAAATGGCACTTTTTTGTGGTTGGCATTACAAATTTTAAAATAAACTTGAGATATCTCGATGTGGATCTCTTTAATATAACCACATATTATGGATTTGTTCAAGGAGATGGAAAAACAGCAATTACAACATAGCTGGACCTTAATTATGGAAATATACTTCAAATGCATATTCTTACTCAGTTTATGTTACTGACTTACATTATTTAATCATTTTTTCCTTATTTTTACTCTTTCTCCATTCTCACATATTCATTTTTTTCTTTTTTTGTATATAGAGATCCAAGCTATTGATATAAATAGATAAATATTAAAATTCAGTTTAAGGTAATATATAAGCTTCGATAAGATCAAGAAAAAGAATAATATCTTTCCTTTCTTTCAAGGCTGCATAAAAGAAATAAGTGAGAAAAAACTATTTTTTAAATAACAAATATATTTTGATTCTTGTTTAATGCAGTAAGCAAAAGGAAATTCTAATTAATATTTATAAATTTATCTCATTTTTGTTTTAATTAGTTATGACTGATTGTAATTTTGAAATACCTGCACAATAAAAGGCGTAGAACCCATTACTTTGTTTAAATTCAAATCCATCAAGAGGAGTGCTTACTTCTACAACTAAATCAATTTTAGTCAAATATTCTCTAAAATTAAATCTTACCAAAAACTTTTTAAATAAAGGACGATGAATTTTATATAATATCCACAGAATTTTTCTTATGATTTTTATTTAAATAGGATTATCAAAAAATTAATTCCTCTAATTTCTAAATTTCATATACATTCTTTTTTATCAATGATTCTATTTATAGGATTAACTTATCAAATAATGTAAATTTTTTCATTACTATTATTTAAAGATTGATTCAAACTTGGTATTCTTAGATGAACTGATTTTGTACTAGAATTATCATTAGTCTAAATATATATTTTTGATGAAGAAATTTCTTTAGATCCTATTGATCTATTTCCATTTTAATCATAATTAACTTGTTGAATGCCTACTCTTTTATTTTACTTTCCATTTAAATCTCTTTTGATAAAAATTTTGCATATCAATATTAAATAATAAAATGATTTATTTTATTCTTAAAACCTAAATGAATTAATTTCAATTATTTTTAAAATCTTGATACTTATTAGAATTTGGATTTTGACTTCTTTTTATAGAATAATATAAAATTTAATTTGAAATATTATTTTGAATTACAAAGATATTAAACTTAAAGATGGTAATATAATTACTAACAGCATGAAAATCAGTTTAAAACAAATTATGATAAGTTTAGCATAAAGAAGTAAGGAGGATGGAATGAATAAGTTAGCATTTCTTTTAAATAGTTAGAGAAATGATTTATGTTAAAAGTTTGATAAGAATAATAAAGTACTAATTTTAAGAGTACTTAAATTAAAAAGGATTGATTATTATTTAAAGAGTAATAAAGAATGCACTTAGAGCTGAATATTTAAAAATTTTAAGATCATCCAAACACAATGCTAATTTTTAAGTATTTTCAAGAAGATGAATTATAAGAGTATTAAATAGGAAATAAAGAAATTTTAGATTTAAAGAATAATTATTATTAGGTTAAACGCAGCTTGAAGAAAGCTATTATGACCTATATGATTGGCTACACATTGCATAGTTAGGAAATTTGTGAACTTAAATAAATATTAAATGCCTTTAAAAACAAAATATTGGCAAATTAAGCAAACAAGAATTTATAGATGAACATTAAACTAAAGGAAAAATGAATTAAACTTTAGATTTAAGTCATTGAAATCTTATTGATTGTTCAGAGTTTATCATGGGAGAAATGAGAGTAGAAAAATTATTATCCCTTTATTAGATTAGTATTTAGAATTTTAGATATTACAAGTTTGATATTTCTAATCTCTGTATTATATTTAATTTACAAATTCTCCTCATTTTTTTTGTTAAGTAATAACTTTATTAGCAAATCCTATTAATTGTCAAAGTTTCAAAATGAGGTTTAATCAAGAACTCCAATTTATTTGTATTTGTTATATTATTATTTATTATAATTTTCAATAAAAAATTCCAAACTTTGATTATAATTCATGAAACCAACTTTTCTGCTT